ATCTCTAATCTATCTATATCTATAATTTATTTATTTTCTTAATCCTCACTCAAGGATATGTTTATTGATTTTAGAAAGAAAGGAAGGGCGGGGAGAGAGAGAGAAACTTCGATGTGAGAAACATCGATTGGCTGCCTCCTGTATGCTCCCCACTGGGGATCCAACCCCAAAACCTAGGCATGTGCCCTGACCGTAATCAAACCGCAACCTTTTGGTGTACCGGATGACACTCCAACCCACAGAGCCTCTCAGCCAGGCCAGGTACTTTTTTTTATAGTTTGATCATTTAAGGATTCTGACATTTTATTTGATGATTAATGATCATTTTTATAGTGTTCTGTCTAGAAGGGCAAGAAAACCTCTATTTTCCTTCTACCTCAGAAAAAAATGTCTATCCCCAGAACAAAAGTTTCTGCCCTTATAAGGTTGTCATTCTGTGATCCTCCCTACTTTCTTCTCCCCCACCCCAAGTTTCCTTTGTAGAAGAGGATCTGGGAACTGCTAGCTCAGTCTTCCCTTTTCTAGAAGATATGTCTGAGAGTGGACGTGGCAGGAGCCTGTGGGATCAGGAAGTGTGACTCAGGCTGCCCACGTTTCCTCTTGTCACCCTGCGCTGGGCTCAGGGCTGGCCTTTGGTTGGAGAGAGGGTGGGTCATGTGGCAAGTAGGTTGCTGTGCCTTTTACAGAAAGTATTGCAGTATATTTGGAGATGTTTGGGAAGAACCAAGGAAAGAGCAGGGTTCTATATGCTAAAAACACATCTTGCCTTCCTGTTTCCAGTTGTGCTGGCCCCTGGAGATCTGTGGATTTGGAAGGCCCTCAGTGGCTGTTATGTTGGTTTTCCATTTCCGTTTGTATTAAAGAACTTCCCAACATGTTTAGTTTGGGGAAAATCTTTGATATTTAGGATTTTATAACAAACAAATCTAGTGGTTAGGAGGGCTTAAAAAGACAGACTCCTGGAATATTGTATCTAGAAGAAAACTTAGAAATCACCTAGTTGCACATTTTATTTATAAAGATAGTAGGACAAATGAAAGTCAGGGAGTTCATCCGTACTGTAAGGCTGTGCCACAGCTGAGACCAGATCCCAGAAACCCTGACTCTAGTCTAGGGACGTTTCTCCTCCACGCCAGGAGCTCCATAGGTGTGGGAATGCGCTCCATCACGTGGACTAGACCTTTTTATCTCAGACAGTTCAGCTCTTTTTAAGATGAGAAATTTAAGTAGCCTTTTTTCTGGAGTTTAAAAATGTTTATATATCTAATTTAAATTCTTTCCTTTGGTCATTCTTTTCTTTCTCTCTCAATCAAATAATTAAATATGGCAGTCTTAGCTGGACAAAACCCAGAGTGTTTACAAATTTATAGCATAGACTTAGATTAATTTGATTTCCTAAAATCAAGAGTACTGTTTTTAAGGTTGATGTTTTACCTGTTAACCCTCGAAGCCTCCTTATTTTGCTTTGGTTCTTAATGAGGTTAGTTTAGTTAGCAAAGACAGAACCCAGTTAATGTCAAAGCCTACTCTTTACAAGAATGTTTATTGTGTAGAGAAATCAGAGCTCACAAGCTTTCTTTGTGGAGTTTTAGGTGTTATGCCTGCTAAAGAATCAGAAAAGCTTTTCCAGAAAGCATACTCATAACCTGTAGTGTCTTGATAAGTCAGCCGCAACAGGGAATGACCTTGAAGGAGTGGCCCATAACCGCCGAGAAGTAAGCACAATGGGTGTTTGCTAGGATGCCAGCTGGTTGGGAGGGGAGGAGGAAGGTGGTAAACAACAGGGTGTTAAAGGAAGAAGGAAATGGTTTCGGGTCCGGTTTTTGAACTTCTGCTCTCTTCTCTGTAGTTGTAGCATGGCCAGTTAGTTTGGCAAGAAATGTAGTCTCCCCTGGGGAGCTGGATATAGAGCCAAGATGTGGCCTTTGGGACAGGGATAATGTCCTTTTAATGATACTTGAAATTAATTCCTTTAGTGTAATCCTCTAGCAAAGAAATGAGAAAATTGAATGTGTAAAGCTTCATTTTGTTCAGAGATTTTGGAATAGAAAAGGGCTGTACATTTGTGAATCACTGCTTAAGTAGGTGATGGAAATAAAATATCATTTGTGCAAACTGTCCTATACCAGAATGTCTCAGGCACCAAAATAGCTTGGCAGGTTGCAAGATAATGTTCACTTCAAGGCTTTATCCTCAACAAATTAAAACTAGAACAGTTGACATAATAGAAAGGGATACTGTGTCCTTGGTACTCTTGTTTCTGAGCTGCATTATTATAAAATGTGTCTGTCAGTAAATCATATAGAGAATGTGGACCCTGTTAAATAGCTGTCAGCTCTTCTATTTTCAAGTTCCTGTATGATTCTCGACCCGTTTGAGAAGTAATATTGGTTTTCTTTTTAGCAAAAGTGTTTCTTTAGTAAAACTTGTGTTCTCAGGCTTCCTGTTAACATTTTTAGCAAAGAAAGCAGTTCTCATATAATGGATCTGATCTTATAATCGGGAATGTATATAAAGTGGTGTTTTTTTTAAGGAGTTACAGGTTGGTAGGCTCTATTAATGAAGTATAGTGTCCTCTTCGTGTCTTTAGTAAATACCAGAGACAGTTTTAATCCCACCTAATTCATACATTGTATTAAAAGACTGAATGCACTGTAGAATAAGCAGGTAATTCCCTTTTTAACAGTAGTATGTCTTATTTTAGAAAAATTAGCAGGTGATATTATTTGGTTGTAAGTTTTAAGATGACTCTTTAACACTGATCTCAGAAAGTGGACTTTGATAACAACATACAATTGTCTCTCACACTGGCTGCACTCTCCATTGGACTGTGGTGGACTTTTGATAGATCTAGAACTGGCTTTGGCCTTGGAGTAGGAATTGCTTTCTTGGCAACCTTGGTCACTCAACTGCTAGTCTATAATGGTGTTTATCAGTAAGTATTCTTTTTGGTTCTTGTTTGCTAAAATAGAGAAATGTTAACTGAATTCAGATGGAGGTTTTCAAGTTGGGTTAGCCACATTAGTCTGAAGAGTAACTTATTTCTATTGTAATTATTTTAATAAGTATCATTGTACAGTTAAAAACATTTCTTTTATTGTAGGTATACATCGCCAGATTTTCTCTATGTTCGCTCTTGGTTACCATGTATATTTTTTGCTGGAGGCATAACAATGGGAAACATTGGTCGACAACTGGCAATGGTAAGCTGATGCTTATTTAATCACTTTTATGTTATTGATATATACAAGTTTTCTCCAAATGACAGTCCTGTAAGGGAAAGCAATTTGTGAAGACAGCATTCTTTGATTTCTTGCCACAATTCCATTGAAATAAATTATTTGGAAGAATTTAATCACAAGTGTATTAAAAGTTGAAGGAGGCACTGGACAGGAGAGCTAAAATGTGCTGTGGACAGAGTGATAGGAGTTATTCTCCCTCCCTTTTTGTAAACTAATTTATAGGTTTCTCCTCCTCAACAATGAACAATTTTAACAGTGAGAAGAGGCTTTATTAATAACAACATTGCTATAGTGATATAAATTAGAGCTATTTCCAGCAAATGAAGATGTTGTTTGATCAGTTTAGTTGAGAAGGAAGGGACATTGTTGAGAACCCCAGTCATGTGTGGCAAGGGTTAGAGGCCACACCAGTTTCACGAACAAGTGTCATTTTTGCCATTTTAATCAGTAGGAGAATTGAGTGGTTTATGTTGCTGTCTTTTTTATAATCTAACTACTCAATTATTCAGTGTATTGGTTTCCTTTGTTTTGAATTGTAGGTGTACGTTTTCATAGTTGTACTTTTGAAATATTGTTTTGACTAGAGGCTTTTGCTACTGTAATCGATTTTTGTCCTTTAAATTGCAAAGTGATTTGAAGAATATTAAGTGAACTCACTGTGTCAGTCCTGTTCTTAAGTTCGTGACCTTTCCTTTGCGATTTCACCTTACTGAGCCCTCAAAGGAACCTACTTCGCTCTCTTTCACATTCTAGGACTGATTGGAACCATATGCGGTCATTATTTGCTTGTAATACAGAAACCCATCTTTCCTCTGCTTTTGGCTGTGCCTCCTTCACTTTTAGAATGTGAATTTTTTCTTCCTTATTATATTTGTCATTTTATCCTAATAGTTGTATAACTCTGAGATTCTTTGAGGAATAGAGTGGGCATAGATTAATAAAGTATTAGTTTTTAGAACTTTTTAGTTTAAATTGCTATTCAAAATAAACCTTTATCTGTTAACCTTTTAACCTTTTCAATTGCAGTATGAATGTAAAGTTATAGCAGAAAAGTCTCATCAGGAATGAGAAGGCAAAAATATATTTTTTGTACAGAAAAAGAAGATGAAGAGAGCATGTAAATGATATACCAATGAAACTACGGACTATAAAATTGCCAGGATGCAGTTTTTACCGTGATTGTTTTATATATATATGTATGTATGTATGTATGTATGTATATACATATATACACACACACACACATATATTACTGCAATCTGTGATTGCTTCCTCTGTAAATCATCTACAAACCTTTGTGTATTTGACTTAAATAACTGTAAGCTATATATGCACTACATTAAAAATGTTGATTAATAGATGAAATTTTTTAATTAATTTTTTAAACATACCATATATTGTATCACAATGTTGATGTGCCAAAATATTCTGTTACTGTCATGCAGAGTATAAGAATGCTTAGAACAATTATAAACTTAGTGTAATAAAATAAGAGGAAAGCCAAAAAAGCAAATAGAAAACTGGTATATTCTCTTTTGCTTGCTGTTGTGCCTGTTTGTTTTTCTCATCACAGCAGTATGGGTTATGGGTGCCCTTATGTGTAGTTACTTTCTACAGGGTGGGGCAAAAGTATCTTTACAGTTGTTGGTATGGAAAATAATACAATAATTAATAAATAATAATGCAAGAATAAACTCTCTTACAACTGTAAACCTACGTTTGCCCCACCCTGTATTTTAATATTGTTTTAAAGAACTTTGGGTGTTTTAATATGTGTTGAAAATGAGCTTCCATAGAACATTTTTCAAACCTGTATTACTGGAGAGAGTCCAAAGAGTAATTTTCTGTTTTGACAGATTTTACTGGAGGTAAAAGTGATGAGCAGAAAAGGCTATATCAGCATTTAATTGTTTTCCATTTAACCTAGAAGAGTATATATAATTAAAAATAAGGACCCCTGGGGAATTTACCTAGAATAAATGTATGTTTTAGAAATACGAAATGATCTTCCTCAGTGCCACGAAGTGCTAAGTAATATTAACTGTCATTTGCAACATAGAATCCTGCTGCTTTTGCACATGGAACACCTAAAAAACCCCCAAATAGATCTAAATGAAGTTTCTAATTCTATTGGGTTCTATTCTTGGGGTCCATAACCTATTGGGTTATATAAATTAAAGCACATTAGTTGGGCTTGGTCAAATGACTGACGTCAGAGGAATGCCGTCTGGGGAATGGATGGGCACGTACTTCCTTGTGTATTCATATGCCCATTGGTGAGTAGCCCAAACCTATTTGAGAGTGTGCTGAGACGGCGGATTGTGCATATTAGAGATCTTGATAACAATTTTGTGCATATCTTTTCAACAACTAGAGTCATTTAAATATGGCTTGACATATTTTTAGTTGACTTTTCTCCTGACTTTTAGTTTTGCATTTGATGGCAATTTTCTGATATACAAGGGTGAATGAAATCCTCTACTTACTGTGTGTGTATGTGTGTGTGTGTGTATGTATGTGTGTGTGTACACATATTTGCTGAACTGAGAGAGAGAGAGAGAGAGAGAATGTATGTGTGTATATGGATGTGCATGTGTCCAGGCTCTCTTAACATGTTAATTAGAGATTTTTTTAATTTTTGGTTTTAAAACCATTCCTGTCAGACTGAGATCCTGTATGCCAAACGTTAATGTGCTTTTTACATTTTAAGGCTGAAAGTGTTAAAATCCTAAGAGGATTTCATGAATATATGTACACAATCTTAACTATAGTGGTGGTAAACATACTACTATAATTTATTATTCTATCTTCCAGATAATGTTATTCATTTAGAACAAATAAGGTATATTTTTAGAATCAACTTTGTAAGCACTATAAATCTTTAATAAGTTATAAGATCTATGATGTGTTTACTTTGAAAATTGCTGTTAAAAGCAAGGTGTATTAAATATATAATTATATTCTTGGTTAAGAGTCTTTTTTTTCTTTCTTGTGTTAAGTCATATAGACTATTGTGCTGAAGATTACTTTAGTAAAAGTAAGATGTTTGGTTGAATTTACTAAGATCTGATGACAGGAAATTAAGTTTAGTATTACAGGAATTGAATGATGTCATTTTGGGGTTCTTAAATTATTTTCAGATCATTTAGAAAACAAAAAGATATGGCAAAAAATTGTTTTGATATTTTGATAAATATATAAATATATTACATCTTTTTTTGCAATGAAAGTAAGTAGTACACATCTTTTAACATTACTCTGTTTGCAATACTTTCTTTTATTCTTTCCTGTCTTGAACATTTTTATTTAGTTTAGTTTATGGCAGAATGTAAATACATAACAATATGTCCTTTCTTATCACGGGTAGTCTTTTGTATAACTAAAGTTTATGGCCAATATTTCTCGACAAAGGCAGTCTACATCATAGACCACTGCATTCTCAGGGTTGATTTCACATGTATTTATGTTGCAGCAAGCTCCGATGATGCAACTGCTTGTCAATATTATGCTTCTGCCTACCTACGTATGCTTTTCGTTCAATACTGTGACTTTCCGTTTTCATAGCTTGGGAATAACAGCCAACTTCACACACATTATTGGTGCAATGATCATGGGTTTCGGTTCTGGGTCTTCAGTATCAAGGTGATATTACAGGGTGAGCATTCATGATCAGCTCTTGTTCTACCAATCACTATTGGCCTGGCCTCCAAAATGATTCCTGCTTTAGGGTGGATCACTGTCCTAGGTTCTACAGTTACATTAGCCCTGATTTCACTTTCTGCACACACAACTGCTCCAAGAGCAATATTCACACTCTTGGGTCTTCTCCAGCCTGGTTTGGCCCGGGTCTCCAGTTAGAGCCGAGATGGACACCAGAGCCTGGGTAAAGCGATGATCTCTACTGCAGTGCTTTCTTGCTTTTATTATTTATAGTTATAGAAATTGAGGATTTGACAATTGAGACTAAGTTCTACAAAAACACAGGAAAATAATTAAAATTAGCCAGAACCCTGCTAATACTTTTGTTATAAAATTTGTTTGCACTGAACCATGTTACCATCTTTAAGGTCATTGGAACCTTTGAGTGGTGCATAGATTTCACACATCTTGCATTTTCTAGGTAGACTCTAAGTCAACATCATTAAATACCTCCCTGGTTTTATTGGCTCACTTACCTGCATAATGAAGTATATTCTTTGCAAGGTAATTCTTTCAGTAGTGATCTTTAAACAGTAGACTCTTACCTTTGTGTGCCTGAAAAAGCCTACTTCATTCTTGAACACTTTGGCAGGCCATAGAAGTCTAGGTTCACAGTTTTCTCCCTACTCCCATCACTTTGAATATTTTAACTCTTCTGCCATCTAATGTTGCAGACGACTAGTCTGCTACTGGTGTAATTTTCTTTCCTTTGTGGACAATCTGTATTTTATCTCCAGGAACTTTTACATGACTTCCTTTTTATTCTCAAGGTTATTCAGTTTCACTTTGACTTGTATATTTGTTTTTTTGTTTCTTGCTTGGCATTTGGTATGCACTTTCAATCTGTGGGTTCATGTCCTTAATTTTGAAAGATTCTTAAATCTGGTTGCATATTGGTATCATATGGAAACCTATAAAAATATGCTGATGCCTGGCTTCAATCCCCAGAGACTCAGATACAATTGATCTGGAATGTTCCCTAAGCATTAGGATTTTCAAAATTCCCCAGGTGATTCTAATGTGCAGCCTAAGTTGCTGATCACTGGTGTAGATACACGTAACAAAAGGTGGAGAGCGAGAGAGATAAGATGGGTAGTGACTTTGGAAATGAAGAGTGAGGGACACGTAGAGTTAAATTTTGGATTAAATTATCTGAACTTGGCAACTTTAGTGTGAATATTAAGGTAAGAGTATTAAAGGTAACTTAATTTTTCTTTCTTGGGAAAATAGGTGAATGGTATTGCCATAAACCAAAAGAAATATGCAGAGAAGTAGGTTGAATGGGGAAAGTTAATGAGTTGGGTGTATGTTAAAGTTGAGATATGTGGGGGACATCTGGTGAAGATGAGTCATTAGGAGCTACATATTTGAGTCAAGGTTATTGGCTATAAATGAGGGAGTCATCAGCATGTGACAGTAATAAATGAAGCTGTGGGAGTGCATGAAGTCACCTAGGGAGCATGTTACAGTGGGAAGAGAAGAGATCAGAGGCTTACTGGCTTGTCAGAAGTAGGAGGGAAAACAGAAGAGTGCTATGGATGTAGCTAAGGCAGGAGGGCATTTCATGTAAAGCCTAACTAGTGGTATGAAGTGCAGTTGGAAGGAATAATCACTCTTGGAGATAGAGGAGGTGATATCTGATGCCTTATGTTGAAAATGCTTTTTCTAACCTATTTTATCAACATTTAAAATACTTCATTGTATACGAATAGCTTACAAAATATATTTAAGAAAAGCCTGATCGTATACTAAGTCATTTATTGTGAGTGACAGGAACTAGAGGCAGCTAGAGATTTAGAAAGAATGGTGGAGATTTGGACAACATCTATGAAGAATGGACACAGGATATGTGGAGATGAAGAAAGAATTGTCAGACAGTTTTGAGGCCATCCATGATCCAGGTGGAGCTAGAGATCAGATCAGTTTGGAGCCAATTGGCATGGTTGTGCCCATCTGTCTAAGTGGGCTCAGTAGCCCAGAAATTTAGGCCAGTTGTGATGAAGTAGATTGTGTCTAGTTGTCGATTCATTGGTAGACATGACACAAGGCTATGTGATAAATTAATGGAGCATCCACTGAAAGATCAAGAGATTTATCACAGGATCCAGGCAAATTGTAGAAGGAAGTTGAATCAGCAGAGCTGACCTGACAGCATGAAATAATAAGGTAAGGTAAAAGGACACAAGTCTTAAGGAGGTTAAAACCCTCTTTAATGGGAAGGGTGATAGGTTTGGAATTCATAGTCAGAGAGGAACTCGGGCAACATTTCCAGATCTTGAGGTGCAGGGTGTGATCTTAACAACTGTTTACATGGTTCAGTGAAGTGGGTGGAGATGAACAGCCATGAAGTAGAGATCCAAGGCCTGGGTGACTGTTAACACCAGTATCAGTCTTCCTTGGAATGATTCAGAGGTCAGGTGGAAAGGGAGGCTCATCTGTAGTCTTATAACCATTTATGTGAACTTCTTACCCAGGTGCCCGATGGTACAGGCACACCTTGGAAGTAGTGCGGGTTTGGTTTCCAACCACCGCAATAAAGTCAGTATCACAAAGCCAGTCACGTGAATATTTTGGTTTCCTAGTGCATATAAAAGTTACGTTTACACTATACTGTAGTCTATTAAGTATGCAATAGGATTATGTTAAAAAAAAAAGTACATTCCTTAATTAAAAAACACTTTGCTAAAAAAAATGGTAACCATCATCTGAGCCTTCAGCGAGTTATAATCTTTTTGCTGGTGGAGGGTCCTGCCTCAGTGTTGATGAAAGTGCAGTATCTGAAACTCAACAAAGGAAGCGCAACAAAACGAGGTCTGCCTGTATTGGGGTTTCAGTTAGA